GATTCTGCCTTTGGATGTGGTTCTTTAATTTGCCGCCCAGAGCCCTGCTTCTGAATCACATTACAGAAGGCTCTTCTGTTTCTCAGACTGCAATAGCCAACGCAGCTACCGGAGCCGAAGCAAATCTACCAGGAGGTTTCCCACTAACTCCGGGATGCATTGCTTCAGGCCTGGCTGTTGGAAGAAACCAAGGCGACTCCGTATTTCTAACATAGTTTTCTGTAGGGGTTGAATATTCCTTCTTGTTGTCATTCGGAATCAAAGTGCTGACCCTGCTAGTTTTGGCAGCGAACCTAGTTTTGAGATAAGGTTTGAAATGTTTGCCCCCAGCAATGTTGCTCCCTCCCGCCTAGAAAATATTTGCCCAGTAACTGCAAGCAATTGTGTGCATAAGAAGATCACAGTGGGGGTGGGGAGGTGGGGGGGGAAGGGATGGGCGTAGAGCAGTTTTATTTAAAACACAATCCTCCTCCGGAAAAAATAAATAAATAAAACAAAACAAGAATTCAAAAAATGTGCAGTCTTTATTGGGAAAGCAAAGGCCAACAAATGAAATCAGATATATTTGTTTAGGAAGGGTAGGGAGCTATTTGCTTTCTTTATGATAAAAGTATATTATTTCCATGTTAAAACTGCTCAGATATGTTTGTCCCTGGTTCTTTTTAGGTAAAAAGTTAAAAGTAAAAACTGGAATATTAGCTTACTGATCATTTAGGGTCTTTACGTTAAGAATTTGGGGGGGGGGGTGGCACCTGGAGGGGGTGGTTAGTTGCTAAAGCGTCTGACTGTGGCTTAGGTCCTGATCTTGCAGTCTGTGGGTTCAAGCTCCAATCAGGCTCTGTGCTGACCGGCTCAGGCTGACAGCCTGCTTCGGATTCTGTGCCCCCTTCCCTCTGTCCCTCCCCCACTAGTGCTCTGTCTCTGTCTCTCAAAAATGAATAAACTTAAAAAAAATTTTTTTTTAACTTTTTTTAAAAAGATCTTTACATGGTAGTTTCCCAAAGTAATGGAAATAGAAAAGTGCTTACATGGATAGTTGTTGTTTTGAAGTACTTTATAGTAGCCAGTTTAGTCCTCAAAACAGTAGTGTGAGGTTGGTACTATTACTGCCCGTTTTGTATCTGAGGGAAAGAATTTGCTCAGGGTCTGGTAGCTATTGTGGGCAGTGCTGGAACTCAGACCCAACGCAGCTGGCCTGAGGACCATGCACAGCACTGAGAGTTCTCACAAAATGCAGTGTAGACGGATCAAAGGCAGATGAGGACAAGGAGGGTAATGATAGCGAGGTAAGAAGACGTTATTTGTCAGATGCCTGGCTATACATCATCATGCTTACATAGGCTGCCCGAGTCATGACTCTATGGGCAAGTGACAGTGTGTCCACTTTACAGATCAGTAAACTGATGCATAATGAGCAGCAGTGATTTGCATTAGGTCTCGGTGCTCTTATGGGGCAGAAAATCAGCATTGCATCCTGGATCTGTCTGCCTCTATCATCTGCTCTTAACCACCAGCTACTTTGTCTCTACTTCGCTTGTTAGTTTGTTCTTAGAACGGCAACAACCAACAGGATGGAGTTAAAGCTCCTCACTAGGAGATCAGGGAGTTCAGCCTCTAGTGGTACGTGGTGGGGTTGGGTGGGGGGAAGGTGGGTGGAAGAGAAAACCATATTAGCCTGAGTCTTTCCTCTCCTCCTTCCCCAGCTTCCAATTCCTAAGAGAAGAAAACCATTCTCCCCACAGACATCTCTCTAAAGAACCACCATGGCGAGATTCGCCCTGTTGATTTTGCTTGAAGCGCCCTCCGGGGAGAGTTGTGTAACCGCAGTGTGTGTGTGTGGGGGGGGGGGCATGGCCCTTATGAGGACTGATCCTTAAGCTGGTCAGCAGACTGGCGAGTGAACTGGAAGCTATTTCTTCGTACCCCCCTCCACCCCATGAGCATTTCCTTGTCTGATGTATTTGCGTCCACAATACTTCCTTTTCTTGTCGTCATCCAATATTCTGCAAGCAGAGTCCCCACATGGCTGAAACATACAACATACACATAGCTTTGCACGTGAGCCCCGCTGTGAGTCGGAGCATTCTGTGTCTGTCTGTCTCAAATTCCCTCTGCCCCTCCCCCATGGGTTTTTTTCCCCCATTAGGCAAATGGAAGGGCCATGCCACCTGTTAGCATTACATCATTGGCTCCCCAGAACACAGTTGCACCAAAGGCCTTAAACAAAGTAGTTCTTCTTGTATTGTTTGTACTCAAAGAGCTGATATCATGCCAACTGATGTCATTGTATGTCTTTGTGTAACTGCTATGGTAACTGGGCAGGTGGGGAGCCTCCAGCTGATGTCATTGGGGAAGGAGGTGTAGAGACAGAATTTTAAAAAGCTGTATGGTGCTTTTTTCTGTGTGTGGGTTTTTTTTTTTTTTTTTGGCATGCATTTTTTTTTTCAGACTAGCTGCTTTTAAGACAAATTACAGCTTGAGAGCCCTAAATAAGAACAGAGAAAAGTCCCCTTCCCACCCCTTCAAGCCTTCTTTTGAGTTTATTTTGTTCGTTCCTCTCATCTTATATGAAAATGTGGAACTACTGCCATTTTCTTAAGAAAAATAAAACAAGTGTGAATTAGGTTCCCATCACAGAATCAGCGTAAATCATTTGCTTCGATTTTTATGGAGGCAAAGCTGAGCAGATGTTAAAATAACTCTTTAAAGTCTCTCTCGTGGCATTTGTGATGGTAACAGTGGGTAATTTCAGTTTTTTTTTAAAGTTGTCACTAGTGAAGTTTGGCTTTCTATTTCCTCCGTGTGCAAATAAGAATGTACAAATAATCTCTTAGGGCCCAGACAAACTTTTTAATCAAGATTTCATAGCAGAGCACCCTAATATGTAAGGGCAGAGCTTCATTCTAGAAATGCATTAAAATGAATATATAGCACTTGTTTTTCTTTTTGAAAAGCAAAGATAGGTCTTGAGCCTTACAGATGAATGAAATGACCTTGGTATTACCCTCCTCTTTGAATGATGTTTTTGTCATCGCTGGACCTTAATGAAAATACGACTTCCCTGGTTGACACGCCCAGCGGTGTGTGTTTAGGACAAGAACAACCCTGAGACTGGGTCTGGGTCATAGCCTGGAGCTATCTGCCCTCGTTGCCAGAGATGAGACTTGAAATGGAGGAGGGCATATGTTAGGTTCAGGAACCAGAGGACAGATAGATTTCCTGTGTTTATTTCAACACAACCATATCCTGTTCACACTTTGTGTTTCCTGCCTTATCTCCTGAAACCATCGGACGGATGTAAGGCCTCTATCAGGAGGCATAAATGTCATGTTCTGGAGGGTTTCAGCTTATAGGAGGTCTCTAAGTTCCTCCTTTCAGAAGGAAGGCCTGGGCAGCCTGGGTGGCTCAGTCTGTTAAGCCTCGGACTTCGGCTCAGGTCATGATCTCACAGTCCGTGAGTTCGAGCCCTGCATCGGGCTCAGTGCTGACAGCTCAGAGCCTGGAGCCTGCTTCAGATTCTGTGTCTCCCTCGCTCTCTGCCCCTCCCCCACTCATGCTCGCTCTCTCTGTCTCTCAAAAATAAATAACGTTTACAAAAATTAAAAAAAAAAAGGAAGGCCGGAGTATCTGGTGGTTTGATTGGAATGAGAGCCCACTGGATGGCAATCATATCAACTCAAAGTCCTTACATGTACATCATGTGATTCGACTGTTGTAATAACCCTTTGGGCTTAACCATGTATGTGGTGTATCTGACAAATATTAAAGAAAAAATGTAAACAACATACTGAGATTCATAAATTTCCTAACTTAAACAAATTTTTCCCCATGGTCCTTTAGCCTTTGATCACATGTATGGTGAATGTTTTTGAACTAGGTTTGTTTCATTTAACATTAAACAGATGCATTTTCTTTGTTTTCCGATCCTGTTCACAACTTTTAATGGCTACATAATATTCCACTGGATGAATATAGTAATTTTTCCTTCTTCTTTTTTTTAATTTGTTTCGGTTCTGGGTCTTTTCTGTAAAACAATAATGCTGTAGTAAACATCTTGACACACCTGGCTGGATAGGTTTGGTTAAATGATTTTCTTAAGATCTATTCCCATAAGTGCTGCTGTAGTGGTTGATGTGGAGGTTTGCACACTTTGCTGTATTCATTCATTCCAGACTCCCCATCCCACTCAAAGGTAGATGTCATTACCCTCATTTTATAGAAGGGGAACCAAGGCACACAGAGAGAAATTAACTTGCCTAAGTCACAGAGCCAAGAAGTTGTGTTACTGGGACTGTAGCCAAGGTAATCTGGGTCTTCCACGGTCCCTGTTCATGGCCACTTTGCTGTGTCAGGAGCAGACTTCTTGCTCTGGGTGAGGTAAGCTTATGGAAGAGTTCAGTTCACGCGGCTGCAGTGCCCGAGGAGGTTGGCCATGCTTTCCCTGGCTCCCAAAGTACAATGTTCTATGTAGGCCACTGAGCATATGGCTCTTTGAGGCAGATCAAATCTGCTGCTGATAAAATTGCCTGATGCTTCATGGAACTCTTTCTGGGGGAACATGCCACAGATTGTGTAAAGAGCACATTTGCAAAGTGCCACTTGCGGTGAGAGCCTCTGAAGCTTGTCCTGGATCCCCAAAAGGCCTTGCATTTTTTTGGTTTGTTTGTTTATTTATTGAGAGAGAGAGAGAGAGAGGCAACATGGGTGGGGAAGGGGAAGAGAGAGCGGCGAGGAGAGAATCCCAAGCACACTGTCAGCGCAGAGCCCAACATGGGGCTCGAACCCACGGACTGTGAGATCATGACCCAAGCTGAAATCAACAGACACTCCAACGACTGAGCCGCTGGGGAGCTCCTGGACTTGCATTTTTGTTCTGATTCTCTTTTTCTAAAATGTGCACAGGCAACAAAGCATTCTTCGTTTCTGTGGAGACAGCGGCATCTTCTGCCAGCTCCGAAGTTCCAGAAATGGTCATTCTCACTTTCTGTCGTTTGCTCCAGGTGGACTTAGCAGTTTTAAGCAGAACCATGAAAACCTCTGTGACAACTCCCTCCAGCTCCAAGAGTGCCGGGAAGTGGGGGGCGGCGCATCTGCAGCCTCAAGCATCCTACCTCAGTCTATCCCCGCCACCCCCGACATCGAGAACGCAGAGCTGACGCCCATCTTGCCCTTCCTGTTCCTTGGCAACGAGCAGGATGCTCAGGACCTGGACACGATGCAGCGCCTGAACATCGGCTACGTCATCAACGTCACCACTCACCTGCCCCTCTACCACTACGAGAAAGGCCTGTTCAACTACAAGAGGCTGCCGGCTACCGACAGCAATAAACAGAACCTGCGGCAGTACTTTGAAGAGGCTTTTGAGTTCATTGGTAACTATCTCCCACGGGACGGCTCGTCTTCCGCCTTCCTTTCCCCTCTGGCTTTCGCTTTGATAGCAAGTCCAAGGTTGATGCTTAGGTTGCAAGAAAAAAAAAAGCTGCTGAGAGGTGTTTTCAGGCCCTGCCACCTGGAGCAGCCAGGGTATTCTTCTAAGTCATGGCCCGTTGAATGCATGGAGGCCACAGGGATGGGTTGTAAAGAAACGGTGATTCAGTTTGGTTGGAATCTGGTCAATTAGAGATCTGCCTCCTTCCAGTTCTCAATGAAAACAGGGTAGGGATTCACATGCAGATGTTCTGTAACATAATTTCAAAAGAGGTAATGGAAAGGAAGACATAGGAAGCCAGAGCTGCTTCCATGGCTAGCTGGTCTACCATGTCTGCCGGCGCCTTGTGGGAAATAAAATGCAAGGAAAACGACACCACCTCAGCTCACCCACACCTCCCTTACCTTAGGTTAAATTAATTTACAGTTGGTATAGTTTCTCTATCTACATGGGGTTGAGGCAAAGGTAGCATTTGCTGAAAGGCTATTTCCAAAGAATGTTCTTCAGCAAAGCAGTGCTTTAGTGAACATCCTCGTGTATCACATCAGCACAGAGGGGAGAGAGAGAGAGAGAGGAGTGGAAGGCTGAGGGTTTTTTTCCCCCTTATACTTGCTTTGTCTCAGTTCTTAGACACGGGGTAGCAGAAAGGGGTGAAGGTGTTAGCAAGATGGTACTAGGTTTCGTGAGACAGCTTACCCCAAACTCACTAAAGTAGGAAAGATCAGCTTGGGTGGCCTGTGTAGTTCCCAAGGAGGGGAATTCTAACAACAACAGACTTTAATCTCCAAAAGGAAGTAACCGCCAGCCTAACCCTGATCCTAACTTTACCTTTTGCTGCTCCTATAGCCTTGAACTGTTTTAAGGCTCCAGTGATCCTTTGAGGGAGCCCCTGGAACCTAGCACATACTCAGCAATTTTTTCAAGTAATTTCGACCTTCATTAACCACAGAAAGGTGATTGAGTACTTTTCCCTAAATGTGGTAGCAGGTTGTTACTGCCTCTGTCCCTGGAAGAATGCGCTCATGTCTGGTGATCGTTTTGCTGAAAAGTCTTGGGTCTGGTAGATTTGCTGTGGATTTGGCAGTTCTGGCCACATCGCCCAACTGTTTTCCTTGCCGATTGTGCCTTCAATGGAAGGACCATAGAATACACAGTCTGGAAGGAAATTTTGAGTGGTCACCAAACTCAGAAAAGTAAAGTGACTTCTCCAAGATTATAAGAATTTTAGTGTCCAAGAAAGGACCAGAATGCAAGGCTCTTGACTCAGAGGCAGGGGCCTTTCTACTATATGCTGGGGCGATGTTTCCAATGCTCTTTAGTTCCTGAATGGCAACACTTGTGGATGTGAAGATGTCTTAGCTATTTCATTCATAATTTTCGAGTCAAACCTTGAGCCCAGAAGAAGATATATTTGTGACCAAGTAGATGAGGAACTCTCTGGTTGATGTACGGTGTTATGGCTGCAATTTTATCTGACTTGAGTCCAGTTGGGGGAAGTTAAGAGATTGTTTCCCATTTAAGGAGTGGCCAAAGGCTTGCTTGTTCCAACAGGATTTCAGTCCAAGCACCTGCATTCCTAATAGGTTATGCAGGCTTATCTGATTTTTTAGAAGGAACACAAAACAAATAACCAAATAGCATTTAACCTGAAGAGCAATTCAGCGCCACAGCCTGCAGAAACACAATTTCGTTTTTGTTGTTATATCGTTGGATAAGCTGAAATCGGATAGTCTTGCTTTGAGGAAAACAACAGGCTTTATAAGCACAATAACCTTCACTGAGAGTCTAATATAAACTAAGCAGAGTGTATGTGTAGGGTTTACTATGCCAATTTATTTATTCCTGAATTGGGTGATATGATTCCCAGATTCCCCAAACCTTGTTAGTCAGCATTACTCCCATTAAGCAGACAGAAAGATTGAGGCTCTGGGGAGTTAGGTGATTCACACAAGGTACTCATCTAGCGTGTAATGGTACCAGTGGTCAAATCTAGCACTTTGCAGCTCATCTTCCTGCCTCCACGCTTCCCAGTCTCGGCATGGAGGTGAATATAGTATGTGCTGAGAAGAAATTGCAGAACGGAGATACTTTCTTCAAATACTGTCATCCAGGAGAAGTAAGCTTAATCCACAGACTTTTAAGATGGAATTTTTCATGATGTTTCTTTTCACAGTTCACTGGAGGGTAGTCCATAGAAGTGGTTCAAGTTAGGGGAGAATACCATGCAACTCTTGATCTCAGGGTTGTGAGTTTGAGCCCCATGTTGGATGAAAAGATTACTTCCATAAATAAATAATCTGTAAAAAAAAAAGTGGTTTAAGTTAGATTACTCCTTTTTACTCCCCTCCCCTACTCTTCATCTAATTGAGATCCCTTCAGAGAAGCTTTCTTTGGGATGCCTTTCAGTCTAGAATCATCATTAAGAATCCATTTAGGCGGTGCCCACAAAGTACTCTCCTGAGCTTCCAACATATCTGAAAACTTATAAAGTCTTGCTTCTCTCAATTTTTCCGGTTGCTGGACCATCATTAGAATTCTTCCATCTTGGTCATTGCCACCATGTTGGAACAGCATACATGGATGTGGGGTGGCATTGGACAGTCCAGATGTAGGTGATGCCCTGTGCCTAAGCATTTCAAGTCCTTAGGTACATTTGCAGCAGTAGGCTTTTCTGGAAAGAAGCTGCACATAGCAACTTTCTAGTTGGGTTTTGTTTCTTTAACCTCAGAGTTTAGCAAGACAGAATCCCTTGTCCATTTAATACCAGTTTCTACAGATCAATCCTGTAACATAAAGAAAGAAATGTAGGTGTCTTTTCTCTATCACAGCTGGGACAGACATTATTATTAACAACACTAGTGTTGATAAGTGACAGCCTCAAGATTGGGATTAACATCCTTAACCAAAAGGGTCTACTTCAGTGGCTTGCTTAACAGGCAAGTTAACTGTGTTGGAGCTCTGGCTGCAGCAGATTGTCACCACCTGTGATGTGAATGGTTCCTGTAACTGATTCCTTTACCTCGTCCTTTCTTTATTTATTGTTTTTTGTTTCTGTATTTGTTTTGAGACAGAGAGAGAGCACATGTGAGGGAGGGCAGAGGCAAAGCAAGAGAGAGAATGCCCAGCAGGCTCCACACTGTCAGTGCTGAGTTCATTGTGGGGCTGGAACCCACGAACCGAGAGGTCATGACGACCCAAAGTCAGACACTTAACCAACTGAATCACTGGTCCTCTCTTTAAATGTAGAAATGTGGCGTCTCATGCATGCTCACATTGCTTTTAGCCAGTTCTGGAGGTTGCTTCATAAACACACACAATTAACTAGTAAATTATGCTTAGTTCTAAAACCACTTGAATTTATTTTTTCTCTACGAAATATAGCATTGTCAAGTCTGGACCAAAGCTAATCTCTCTTTTCCCATCTCTCTCTTCTTTCCTGCACCTCTTGCATTTCTCCCTTTTCCCAGAGGAAGCTCACCAGTGTGGGAAGGGGCTTCTCATCCATTGCCAGGCGGGGGTGTCGCGGTCCGCCACCATCGTCATCGCGTACTTGATGAAGCACACTAGGATGACCATGACTGATGCCTATAAGTTTGTCAAAGGCAAACGACCAATTATTTCCCCAAACCTTAACTTCATGGGGCAGTTACTGGAGTTTGAGGAAGACCTGAACAACGGTGTAACACCACGAATCCTTACACCAAAGCTGATGGGCGTGGAAACGGTTGTGTGACAGAGGCCTGGATGGAAAGGATTACTGTTCTCCATTAGGAGACGAAGAGAAAGGAGGATGGATTCTTTCTTTCTTCTTTTTCTTTTTCTTTCTTTCTTTCTTTTTTAGATGGGGGTAAAGTTTGTGAATGGAAACAGAACTTGTTTAAAACCTTTTTATTTTTAACAAGTGTGAAAAGAATTTAACTTTTGATGCCATTGAGATTTACTTCCCGCGAACTGCTAAAGCAGGGAGGCTAAAAGAGTAACTTTTTTAAGCCAACAATAAAAATATAATAAAACATGTTTCTTCCCCCCTTTTCCTTTTAAGCTATTTGTAGAGTTTATGATTCAATAGTCTGTGCTGGTTCATAGACCGAAGATACTACAATTTAAACTGATTTAAAAGAACCAAAAGTAAGAGGCAGAAAAAGACATTGAATCATCGAGGCCCGAGATCTGTCCTGGGTCGTCCACACAGAGAACAAACACCAAACCAAGCCCTGTTGTGCTCACTGGTGCAAAGAGAAAAATCAGGGCCGTTTAAGTGGTCTAAGAGCCCTTCACGTTCTTTAAAAAGACAAAAGATACTGTTGGTTTTGTGTGTTTCATACCCTGGATTATTCTCCCCTCGCCCCTTTGGGTTTAAGAGATTTTTTTGAAATAGCAAGGAAACTGACCATTATACCATAAGCCTTTACTGGCTTCTTGTGCAATAATACGGTGTTTTGAGTGTGCAAACAAGGTAGAGCTGGCAGCCACACAGTAAACAAATAGCGTGAATTTGCCAGCCTGGAGATAGAGAGGAATTCAATAAAAATCAATTACTTTCCTTCCCACCTTTTTCCTTTATTATTATTATGATCATTTTTTTTGGATCTGATTCTGGTTACAGCGCCATAAACCTTGTTACATATGTGTATCAGAATGTAAAAAAAAAAAAAAAAAAAGACAAAAAGACAAAAATTTATTTAAAAATATTTTTCGCAGAAAACGAAACAAAACAAACTTGATGTGTTTCTGTTGATTGTGTAAAAATTTATTTTCATTATATAAATGAAACTTACTTCGGGATGTGTCTTTTTTTTCCTCAACTCAGGTTCAAGCATCTCTTAACCTCCGGTACCTTGTGTATGTAACATAATTTGGAAAGAAACACGTGTTTTTATATGGGGAGAGAGATGATGAAGGGAAGACATTCTCTGTTCTCAGGGTGATGCAGACCAAGAGAGCTCTGGTCATCAGTCTGCCTGGTCATCCCCTCTTCTGCAAACGGAATTCCTTCTGAATTAGGGGAAATGTCAGGTGAAGTCACCTGTGAGGTCTGGAGGGGGCAGGCGGGGTTCTACCCCAGCCTTTGAGCCTTGATGATCAGGTCCCTGCCAGATTGATTGGTTAGAATTTTGTGATCTTTCCAGGGGCTCTCTGATAAATATTTGTGACCACCTGCCATTTAGGGGTCCTGACGGTCCCTCCCCTGCCCCATTGCCACTTGCTCGCTTGACCTCTTTGGTGACATTAGCCACAGAGAGTGCAGTGCGGCAAATTGCAATTTCCTGCCCTTTTGCCAGCAAATTGAACTCAGCTCCCTGAGTACAGCAGCTTTCCTATCACAGCTGGTTAATCCACAGCTGGTATCCTGGGTTCCCAATCCACAGAAGAGAGGGTGTGCAGGGAGGGGAAGGACATGATCTAAATGTTTCCCGTGTTTTATTAAAATACATGTCTGGAGGGACTTGACCATAGGGAAGATTCACAGCAAATTGAAATATGCCTGGGGTGAGTCACAGAATTGAAGAGTGCCGTTATGTCTGGTTCTAGATGACCACGCTTGACATACTTTTGTGAACATGGCTTAGAACTGTTAACAACAAAGTATTTTTGACATTTATTTTTTTAAATAGCTTTTCTACTAGAAGTGAAAAAGAAAGTGAAGACTGGATTTAATGGGAATTAACTGAGAGCTGTTTGAATTATTTTTACTACAAAGTGTTAATCAGGTGAAAAGTAAATTTCTCTTTCTCTCTTCTTCAGACTAATACTTTCCTTGTGTCGGAGCGTATTTAAGAAGTCACATTGTTATATAATTAGTGATTTAAAATACATGGTGATTTCCTAGGCGTTTCTTTTTGTTTACTCTAAATCCAAATGTTAAATTTCTGGTAGAGTATAAGGCTTTTTCCCTTTATTTCTTTATCTTTTCTTCTGTCCCCCCCACCCCCCTTTTTTTTTTCAACAAAACAAGGGGAGAAGAATCAATACAATTTCTCTTCTGTAGCTACGTGGAAATGATGGATGGTTTTTGAACTTGGTGATTTTGAGAAAAAGACTGTCCTGGGGCAGACAGGAATCCTGCCAACCCACATACCAAGAATTCTGAGAGACCCGGGTCTTTTTTGCTAATCTGTTTTGAGTCACTTAGCCTCTATTTCTTCATGAGGAATGTTAACCACTTCATGAGAATAAAGTGGATTAACCAAACGATGGCTCTAAAAACCAGACTCCCCAGGTTTCTGGGCCTTGCGAGGTTCCTTAGCTGACTGGGAAATAATTGAGTGTTTTCTGGAGAAAGCAGAGCTTCTGACTGACGAGTGCATGCATCGTTCTCAGCATCCAGCAAGGGTTGCTTTGTGCTGAATGCGTGTAATGATTTAATAGCAAGTCTGTAATGTACAGATGAGCACATACAGCTAGCATTGTTCCCTTTAGTTGAACAGCCCAACGGGTCTAGCCCCTCTCTATACATTTATTTCAACAGTAAACACTTTCCCAATCGATGCCTATTAACCAAGGGATGGACCTCATATTTCTTTTTTTTTTTTAATGTTTATTAATTTTTGAGAGACAGAGTGTGAATGGGAGAGGGGCAGAGAGAGGGAGACACAAAATCGGAAACAGTCTCCAGGCTCAGAGTTGTCAGCACAGAACCGATGTGGGGCTCAACCCGTGAACTGTGAGATCATGACTTGAGCTAAAGTCGGATGCTTAATCAGCTGAGTCACCCAGGCGCCCCTGGGGCTCACGTTTCAATGAAGAGCTTGTGCTGGCTGCTTTGGGATCAAGACAAGCAAGAGGGAGGTGGGGCAGGAAAGCTGTCAGACAGAAGAAATATGAAAGAAGAAGCATACACAACCCAGGAATCACATGTTGACAGTAAATGAGGAAAGATGACCTTCTGGAAAGGTGATAAAGCATGGGAAAGAGAAAATTGGAGGTTACAGCAAAACAAACATGAAAAGCCCTAGTAAAATAAAGAACTAGGACCTGAATCACACTTCAGAAGTTGACGAAGATAGACCACTGATAAATTGCTCTAACTAGGTCTTCTGGAAGGTAAAATGTCTGGCAAGCCAAAGCGAATGGATGTAAGCAATATGGCGATCCCCTTGCTTATGAACGAGCTTTTGTAGATAAACCACAACACATTATGTTTTAGCCCCCAGACATACAACATCCAGTCTCAGGAAATAGGGGCTGATGTTGGCTTTCAAGCTTTAATTGGAGACAGCCATTATGTATGGATGTGGGCAGAAAGCGAGTAGTAAGCCCTGGCCCCCAGAAGAATGGGCAAGAGTAAGATATTTAGATAAAAAGTCCCAAACTAAACCTGTCTATGGAGGTCTGCCTGCCTCTATAGAGGTGGTATTCTGTGAATTCCAGTGTTTTCCATGGTTCCTGATTTCCTTTCCTGTGACAACCTTGTCGACGTTCAGTGGAAGACACCTGTATCACTGTCTGACCAGAAGCTGAAGTGCAGAGAGAACGAAAATGAGGGGTTTGTTCTGGGGCATTAGACAACTGTGGGTCTAGTGAAGTCACGGGGAGTGTGTTTCCTCCGTGTTTGATAACAGGCTGAACTGTGGGTTCACAGACTCTGTGGGTCAATGGAGCCAACAGTCAGGGAGAAAAGTGAAGTAGAGGAGGACAAGAAGTGGAATTTGGAGGAAGAATTGGAAGCCACATTTGCCTTTTACCAACCTTGATGATGTGGGTGGCCTCGGAGAAGGATCTGGCACCTTTTGCCAGGGAGCGGAACACGGACCTGGTGCAGACTTGCAACACTGAAGGAGCGGATCTGCAGCAATCACAGCTGCTGCCCGAAGCTGAAGCGAGCCACCAGATCCGTGAAAATGGGTGCTGGTGCCCTCTGCAGAGCATGCTGGCTGCCGCCTCCCTTCTGCCTTCCAAATCTCATGTAAATGTCTTTTCCGGCTACCCCTAGCGCAGGGTGAAGCAGAAAGGAAAGTGCAGTCTCTGATTCAGCTGTCAATACTGTAGGAAACTGCCACAGTCCATCCTTGCCAACTCCTTTTAACCATACATAAGGTCCAAGCAGAGACATTAGAAAATGATGTTTCTAAGAAGATGCAGCTGTCACTTCTACAGATGAAAACACACTAACCCTGTCTCCAAAAGAGGACACACAGCCCCCTATGTTGTTACTTTGCCCATTGTTGGGTGATGTTCATTCCTCCAGTGGTTGAGATCCACTTTCTCTTTGATATCCTCTCATTCATTCATTCATTCATTCATAATGTGTATTTATTTTATTTTGAGAAAGAGAGAGCACAAACAAGGGAGGGGCAAAGAGTGAAAGAGAGAGGGAGACAGAGAATCCAAAGCAGGCTGCAGGCTCCGAGCTGTCAGCACAGGACCTGACGTAAGGCTCAAGCTCACAAACTATGAGACCATGACCTGAGCCAAAGTCAGATGATGGATAACCAACTGAACCACTCAGGCGCCCCTGATATCCTCTGATTTCAATGCTGAGATGTAAGGATATTATAGATGGATTTATGTTTGCCAAAGAAATATGCTTTTGAAGTTTTAAACCCCAGACCTTGTAAATGTGATATTATTTGGAAATAGAGTCATTGCAGATGTAATCAGGTTTTAAGGAGGTCATATGGGATTAGGTGAATCCAGTTACTAGCATTCTCATAAAAAGAGGGAAATTTGGACACACACAGGAATAAATGCCATATGATGAGGGAGGTGTAGATCAGAGAAATATGTCTCAAGCCAAAGAACGTCAAAAATTTCTGGATTCCACCGGAAACTGAAAGGTTTGAAACAGATTGTCCCTCAGAGCTTCCAAAAGGGGCTAACCCTGTTGATACCTTGATTTTAGACTTCTAGCAGCCAGACTGTACAAGAATACATTTCTGTTGTTTTAAGCCACCCAGTGTGTGGGACTTTGTCATGGCCACCCAACAAAGCTAAAATGAAGAATAACTACCTTCTGTTGGATGGTAGCTAGAGGGGAAAAAAAGAATTGGTTAATATAGAATCAAATATATTTATAT